ATGGCGACCTGTATCGCCCTGTGTGCGGAATTTGGCCCCTTGCACTCCAGTTATTCAAGTCTTGGAATGGCAAAACAATCCCTCCTCGGCGGAGGTAAAAATACTTTTGATCAATTATAACGTACGTTGGGTTCATATGAACCCATCATGCATCCACTTGTTAGGAACCCTTTCTGATTATTCATTTTGATGTTTGAACTTTATATAAATATTCTCATTAGATTGAGGCTTCCGGTGATAAAATCAACAAAACATAAATCACAAGAGATAATAAAACCATCCCTATACAGTCTGAAATGCAGGGAAATGTATGATTCCTTGTTGTTCATATTTTAAAATATCCCATAAACATCATCCTTCAAACCTTAAAGTACGGTCTTTTTCTTACTTTAAAAATTAACAAACAAGAATTTCTCTGGATGTATTAAAAAAAACAATTACCAAATTTTTTAACAAATCCAGCTCAAATTTTACTATAATTTGTTGTAAATATAGACTACTAAAATATGTATCAAGCACTCAGAATTTGAATGACACTTTCAAAGGTTATTAATTCTGAAAAGTGATTTGTCATCCTACAAGTAACTACAAAATCTCATTTCGGGGGTTACATATATTTTGTTGTTTTTTTCTTCGAAAAATAAAGGATGTAAGTAAAGGCAGACGAGGCCAAATGGAGGTAATACAAGGAGAGGGTGTGAATTATTTTTCATATAATATTTCACATAGTGAAAGATTCCACTTTAGGGCGTGGGTAAAAATCAAAAAAGAATAAATATTGCTTTTTCTACACTAAGACACAAGTAAAGCTTAGCCGTGATCGTATAGTGGTTAGTACCCCACTTGTGGCCGTGGTAACCCAGGTTCGAATCCTTGTCACGGCAGCTATTATTAAAATCTATAATTTTTTCTCTTCAGTTAAAATTTATTATCCAATTTTTTTGAGGAGTTCTACCATATAATATATATTTGCTAAGGCCCCAATAAGTGCAATTGTGGCTGCAATAACCCTGTGTATGCCAATATATGTATTATAACTATGATCTGTAAAAGCCGAGGACATTATAGAGTAATCTATTTGTCACAAATATGTCTTAATTATGATCTGTAGAACCCAAGGGCGAATAGGTAATAAGTTTGTAAAGCCAATATATCATATTTTTCGTTTGAAAATGGTTTTAACACCCTAATAATCATAACATGGACAGGCCGAACCAACTAATTTTCCTTTAAATCTCAGCTTAAATCCCCAAGATATAAAATTCTAACTGATGAAGCCTAAGCTTACAATTGTGTTTACTTTTATTTTCAAATTAAAACTTTGAATGTTTTTTAAGATGAAATACAACATTTGGGGTCTAAATAAGCTTTTTCGGACGATAATCACCATATGCTAAAGTGATCAGTCCTAATACTAGAAATCAATAGATTAAGGATCGTTTTTATGTTAAGATCAAATGAGCATTTCATTTTTTAATCATCATTCATATAAGTTAATAATCCAATTAATCAAAGGACTAAAGAGTAATAAATAAACAATAAGGGTATTCATCCTTTATATAAAAAGGCTCCACTATTTTCCACTAACCTTACATTTGTCTGATCATTATAGAATATTTTGGTACGAAAGTCTTCTGGAAGCGGTTTTAGGCTTTTGATTACTATTTATAAAATTTTTGTATCTGACAACTGGGAACGAGATTAAGCTTATTTAATTAAAGCTGTCTCCGATTTCAACAATGAAAGATTGATACAAAGTAATACTTTTTGTTAATTATTGATCCTTAAATTACAAAACCGAAACAAGATTTGATAAATGAATTATATATAATGCATATATACAGGAAAAGAACGGACACCTTTTATTTTTTCCGCCGGGACCCGGGCCGGACTTGAATATATACTTTTGTTCCTTCGGCAATCTGAAGTGATGACCGGTTTTTTTAAAGAAAAGACTCTCCAAAAAAACAAGTGACGATGTTTTTTTTTAGAAAATACTCTCTAAAAAGTAAGCAAGAATATTTCAAAATTCCTTTCTTAAAAAACTTTATGAATGCGAACGAAAGAAATATTTAAGTCACGCCCGGCATTAAAAAACCTGGACACCGGGCCAGGACGCTCGAAAAACAGCCGATCCCGGCCAGGCCGGGTACACAGGAAATATATTATTGATTCCTCACTCAACTTATCCATGATCGTTTCACGCATGACGGAGGAGGGGAATAAAGAAGTAAAGTCAAGGTAGGCGCGTCCTTAAAGAAGAAGAAAAATAATATATAGTGAATTACGTCCCCTTAAAAATATGCAATAACGAGCCGTGATCGTAATTGTTTATAACCCCACGTTGTGGCCGTGGTAACCCAGGTTCGAATCCTGGTCCAGGCCAATTTTGTATAGCCACTTTAAATAATCATTTTTTGTAATCTATTCCCATGTGTCAACAGCTCATGCACTTTATTCAACACTTTTTAAGTAAGTTTAACTGAGTATATTTTATAGATTTTTTTTCGACATTTAAGTTATTAATATAAATGTTTCTTCATTTTTTTCAAAGCACTAGCTTTTTCTCTAATATAATCCATTTTTATCTTAATAAGGCCTTAAAAGTCCAATATATGTATGGTTATATAGTATTATATATATTATAGTCGTAATATTTCATGAGTGTATTTTTTGAGCATTATTATTATTATCCAAATGTAGATACTGCATGTGTTTAAAGCAATTGTTAAATCTCATGCATGACGGTAGAGGGGGGAATAAAGAGTAAAGTCAAGGTAGGCGCGTGCTTAAAAAGAAGATAAATATATATAGTGAATTATCGTTTCACATAGACCTATGCAATAGCAAGCCGTGATCGTATAGTGGTTAGTACTACACGTTGTGGCCGTGGTGACCCATGTTCGAATCCTTGGCCACAGCAGTATTTTGTGATGTTTTATTTTAAAGATTCAATATCCATGGAGATCATGATGTCTTAAATCACATATTCTCTGAGATAGTAGAAACAATTACTTTGATCAACTGAAATAATTATAACATTACTATGAAATTCACTTTTTTAAAGACTAATAATAATATATCAAGTATCTTTTTCTATTAAAAATCGATTTCATTCTTCGTTATATGGAATTCATTTATTGAATGCTTTAATATCTTGACATTATGTTTATTAATTATAGTGTGTAATCAAATGATTTTCCACAACATTTTGGAGATTTTTTTCGTTGAAATAATAAGACATAACTTATATATTCTTAATATATATTTTTTTGTTGTTGAAATGTTAAAATCACATTCTTATTGGTATAATGCAACAAAAAATATACAGAATAATTTTATAACCATTTTTATTCAACATGTTTTATTAATATAATGTTTTCTAATCTTCACTTGTGCCTTCAATTCATAGTAAAATATTGATATATATAAGGTTCAGCTCAAGGAAGTAAGAAAGTATTTTCCCTTCTGATGAAAATGATTGCAAATTAAAGTTATTTTGTTGTTATATCAATTTGTCACCATTATGTTGTTCGTTTCAAGACATTAAAATGTCGCTATTCAAACGATTGTGAGAAAGTACTTTGAGCTTTTGAATCGAGATGTTCATTTCAAACACAAGTTTATTAGATATTAGAGGGTCGATTTGTCATCATCATTTCAGAGTCAATACTTTGACTCCTAGCTGCTGTAGAGTCCTTTTCACTTGGCTAAGTTTTCCTTTATTGCGAGTGATTTAATGCTGAGTATTGTTTTGGCTTTGATTCTTTTCATCATGCATGTATCGCTCGTGTGGAAAAAGTGAGATTATTTTAGCACGAGGCGTTGATACTAAACTATGATAATTAAGTAGAGTGCACGCCTTAAATCCTTTTTATCACCTGGATGTGATCTCAGGTACTCATTAATAAAGATTAAAAGAACCCGTGCTTCTACTGCAAATATGAATTCAAATCTAACACCCACCTTCTAAATTACTTCGAAAAGCGTTTATTAGCTTTGATGATTCCTTTTTCACCTGAAGAACCACATTCATATAGCATGAGGATTCCTCTTTAAATTGCATTCAATTTATACAAGTCGATAGTATGATCTCCAACTGATCATTTTATTATGGATTCTTCTGTATCATTTCAAAAGATTTATTATAATTCCTTGTGATAATGTAGATTAAGTTTCTCTTTACTCTCGAAGTCGGACTTCATATCCAATAAATTTTTTTTATGTTTATTCAGAGAAAGTTTTTTTAAATTAGGATTCAAATAGTGAATCGTTGATATAATTTTTTAACAAAATATTGTTTATATGGACGTTAAAAACATTAATTTAGGTTTTGTTTTCAAATAGCAAATCTTTCTTTGCGTTGTGTTTTCCTCTCTTCATATTTGAATTTCCTCTATGCCAGTTGAATTGCAGCTTCCGGTGATAGAATCAACAAAACATAAATCACAGGATAATAAAACCATCCCGTCGGGAAACTGTGTCTATTTTTAATTTTAAAACATCTTAATAACCAATTTCTAACAAATCTAGTTCTTATTCTTCAAATATGTTTTAAACAATGTAAAACACACCCAGATTGTGTATGACACTTAAATGTTTGTTACATTTAAGGAAGATATATTATCATTTGCAAGTAACTCAATAAATCTCACAGAGTATGATGGAAATACCTTTTGTCGAGTTATGTTCAAAGCTTATTTTCTTTAAACTACAGGGCTTATTATTTGAAAACATATTACAATAACATAAGCCAACTAACTTGCCATTGACAAAAACAAAGAAGAGGTTCTCCAACTGAAGGGCGTGTTCTTTTATGAAAGAATATATATTATTTTTTCTTGGCGTGATCTATCACCTGAAGCTTAGCCGTGATCGTATAGTGGTTAGTACCCCACGTTGTGGCCGTGGTAACCCAGGTTCGAATCCTGGTCACGGCAGCATTTTTATAGTCGTAATTTGTGCTATGGTGGGCAATTTTTGCCCCTTTTTATTAGGTGGTCTAATAAAATATAAATATATTTGCGACCTGAGGAAACATTCATGATGCGGGGTTTAGCCTTTGATGTCACTTATACACTCTATGTTTTAGACGAAAAAGGAATATAATCGAGCTTATTTAAATGAAAGGTGTCTCCCCTTACACATATAAATGTTTTTTTTAATATTTATAAAATTATTGATTATAAAGAATCGCTTTGATTCAATTTCATATCATCTGGATATGATCACTGCCCTCTTTAATTATGGGGGGTTGGATTGAAGGAACCCATTTTTATTTATCTCGATCTACCATCTATCCTCTCAATTATTCAAGATCTTTTGTAGCTGAATATTTTACCTGTCAATAATATAGCATTTATGTGATGCTTCATTTTCTGAGGTATTATAATTGTTTTGAATTAAAACCGATTTGTGAAGTTGATTCAATCATTTCCTCAAGATGATTAAATTTTGTATTGCTAATCAGTGACTTTACCGTGTTTGTCGTTGGCCAAGTACCCTGCGATCTCTGTCAAGAGGGGTGTGCCATCAACGATAACCTTTCGAATGTGTGGGCATAAAGTATGGTCAATCATATTTAAAACTTCCATTTTATTTGTGTAGCAATGACAGTTGGACCGATATTCCCATGTTGCTATTAAAGTCTGTGTCAAGTTCTTTTATTATTTGGTTCAATTTAAAATGAACGTTATCCACTTTCATAGATCTTAGGTGAAATTAAATATGATTTGTTGAGACTAAAGGCTAATGAGTAAAATATATAGCGATGAAGGTTGTAAATACTCTAAATACAAAAATGTCTTATGCAGATAAATGCATTGTCTATGTTTCAAAGCGAGTCAAATGTTACAATCAAAACAAATCAAAGGAATTACAACTAGAGGGTGTGTTCTTAAGGCTTGTAGTAAATATATATCAAGAGCAGAACTCCAAGGCGTGGTTAAGAAGAAAAAGAATAAATATATATTTTTAACAATTAAATAAGTAAGCTTAGCCGTGATCGTATAGTGGTTAGTACCCCACGTTGTGGCCGTGGTAACCCAGGTTCGAATCCTGGTCACGGCAGCACTTTTTTGAAATTGAAAATTAGATCTTTTAAAGCAAAGACAATGTATATCAAAACTTGTGGAATAGAAAAAAAGGCTTTGCTATTGTTTTGCATCCATAATTACAGAAACAATTTAGGGCTCATGTACAGGGTCTTGCAGGTAAATCCGCACAAAGTTCAATATCCTCCAGATCCAAAATAGGAACAAAGTGATACCTATTTTGAATAAGAAAGTTGTTTATTAGACATAATAAAAGATTACAATTCAATATGGCCGCCCTCACCTCAAGGATGTCCTCCAAACGACGCCTGAACCTCCACAAGCCGTGGAGACCTCCGCAGGATCCAGCTTGTTCATCTCCGACTTGATGGAGGCCTTCAAGGACGCCACATTGCTGTGGTGTGTGGCGCACACCTCCCTCTCCAACTTCCCCTACAAGAAGTAGTCACATGGGTTCAGGTCGGGGCTGTTGGGGCCAGGTGTTGAAGTCCCAGAAGTTGGGCACATTCTTCTTCAGCCAGGACTACACAATGTTTGGCCTTGTGGGCGGGCGCCGAGTCCTGCTGGAATGTGTACGGGGTCCTGGAGGCCACAGAGTCCATCCAGGAGACAACGACAGGTGGGCCCCACTCTTCCTGGCAAGGATGGGCATGGGCGTCCCCGATTGGCCTTGATGGACCTCTTGAGACCAGCCACAAATGTGGGCGTGCAGATCCGGTCACTCCTGGGCTTGTGTTCCTTCCTCTTGGACATCCCGGACTCCTACCACTTCTTGGTGATGTCGTAGACCGTCCTCCTGGGGTACTTGGGCAACTTGATGATGGCTGCAGGACGGTGCCCTGCGCACAGCAACTCGATGACCGTGTCCCTCCGGGTCTGCTCCATCTCCGTATCAGTATTTGTTTTGTTTTCGGGCCCAATTCCACAGTACATTCACGAAACCTCCCACATGTGCAATATCTAAGCTCTACTTGTACTCCTTATGGATCTGGACGAAGTTAAACTTTGTGCGGATTTGCCTGCAAGACCCTGTATATTATGTTGATCAGGGCTAATTAAATTGTAGATTAGAATAAGTTTGCGTAGCTCTACTAATCTTAAACTTTTATTGGTTTTTATTCTTCAAAGTCATGGTTTTTAAAGTTTAATGGGAAAGATCAGAAAAATTTCATAATTTGTTGGGTTTCCCTCTGTCTTGAAGAAACGAATACTGAAATTGACGAGTTGTATTGGTGCAAAATTTAATGTGCAATAATTTCTTCAAGTTTGAGCTTTTTAATTGTGGGTTTTTTATTAAACAATATTTTGCATGCATTGTTGATTGTTCATTTCTAAAGATAGTTAAGTATTTCTTAAAGCTTTACGTTTGTGAAGATGAGGATGACTCCTCTATTTCAAAAGCTTATATTATCTTTGGTGTTTAAAATCTTAAGCAGTACCCCCCCCCCCCCCCCCATTTTTCATTGCACTAAAAATAATGACTAATTAGCAAATAAGTTATATTACCTGGCATTCTGTATTTTTGGTCCAAATTCCTGGCATAAAAGATGCACAGAATAAAAATGAATATATATTTAACAGGTGTAATAACTCAATTGTCATTGCCATAAAGCCACAAGGTACATTACTTTCATTCAGAATTCCATCAGTGGACAGGTTACTTTGGACACTGACTCATTCATTTTTAGTCCATTGCTCAAAGAATTATGATCATAATATAAAAAGGATAATTTTATAATTTCATTTCTATAATTTTTTTATTGTTAATTTGGGAATAGTTTTGTTGTTTGAAAGTTATTGATATTTATAAGATAAAATTTAAGTTTTTTTTGCCAATCTGATATAATTTTATAATAAATGTTTATTTATGAATAGTTACTTTAAAATTAGAATCGTTGTAACAATATATCTTTTTATATATTTCAATTATGAAATGGAAAAAACACAAATTAGTATAAAGAAAAAATTATTTCTTGATATAAAACTGGAAAAATTGCCTAAATTTCATTTTCAAAGTCTTAAATATAAGTTACAAGAAATAGTGAAATTAAAAACTCCCATTATTTCCTAGACCTATTTATTCCTTAATATTTGTGAAACTTCATAAAACATTATCTGTTACATCAGTATTCTGGTCAATATTTTATAGACTATAAAAAGCTTAAAACAATATTCTATTCATAGAATTAAAAGGTGCAGAATTTGTGCCGTAGTTGCTGCCCTATATAAAGGAGTTTAAAACTGCTCGTCTTATATTTTTAGATTCTTAGAGACCACCTGGTCAGTATCGTTAAAAGGTATAATTAAAAAAATATATATATATCTTCAGGTTTGAATTGCAATATTGAAAATTATGAAATAAGATTCCATTCCGTTGGGATTCGTTTCTAAAAATTGAAATGCTTTTATCTCATACTTCAAACGATTGTGTGAAAAGTACTTTGAGCTTCTGGTTCGTGGTTTGCATTTCAAACACAAGTTTAGGGATCGATTTGTCATCATCATTTTAGAGTCAATTCTTTGACTCCTAGCTGCTGAAGAGTTCTTCACACTGGCCAGTTTTCTTTCATTGGGAAGTGATTGAAGGCTTGAGATTGTTTCTTATTCTCACAGGTCTTGGCTCGTGTGAGAATCTCATACTATTTACATAAAAGGGGTCCATGCTTCACTCTGTGCTTTGATGAATGTCCTTAAGTCTGATAATTATAAGGAGTGTAACGCCCTGAATCATTTTTATCACCTGGATGTGATCTCAGATCTAATTCATTGAGATTTAAAAGAACCCGTGCTTCATTATCCAAAATATAGCATCCACCTTCTAAAAAATAACCAAGTAGATTGTAGCTTGATGAATGATTTACCTGAGAAATCCTAATAATATAGCCTTTTCAACCATGCAAAATGAGTCAATTTTATCTTATTTGTAGACTTGGTATTGACAGAAAAATAATTGTTAATATGATTACAAATGTAATGTTTAGAAGTTCAACAACAAAAAATCATTTTTATATCACGAATTTATTAATGAATTAAGTGCTAAATAGCTTAGATTTAAAACATAAATATAGTTTTAATATAGAAATTAATAATTTAAATTACTATTTCGATAGAAATATTCAATATTCAATTAATCAAAATCCTTTGATCAGACTTGAGATCAGAACTTTTGATCAGAAAAGTATGATATATTTATTTGCTTTCAGACTTTATAGATGAAGGGAAAATACTTTTTACATGTTAACAGTTAATACTTGTACTTTTAAAATATATATACTATATGATCTAAAATATGTTTTATATTTTAACCTATTATATGAACAGAAAAATAAACTCCAAGATCTGTTGTGATAATCATTTTATTACTTTACTCTATATATGGGATTCATATTTTAGAGATTTGTGGTTGATTTCACACCAGAATTTATGGCCTAGACTTGGATTGGAGATCAACCTCAAGATATTCAAAATTTGTCTCATCAAATCATAAAAATAGCTCTCGAGACTAGGTTTTATATAGTCCTTTGCACCTCTTCAACTTCCTTAATAAATACATTTTCTTAAATATGAATGAGTTTTCATGACCTTAAGGCTTTGGCCCAAAAATAACTTCAGGTGATCATAAAAAAGCGTCCAAACATCTTTTTCCTTCTTTTTATTTTAGAACTATCAATATTTACTCTTTTGAATCAATGAGCTTTGATTTCAATGTTTGAATATCCTGTACTTCAATTCTCCAACCTTAATTTCGGTGATAGAATCAACAAACATAAATCATCACTCAGCTATAAATCAATCTCTTCATGACGATAAAAATGAATTACTTCTTAGATTGTAATAAACATTTCATTTCTATGAGCTTTTATTTTGTATAACTTGAATAACTAAATTCCAGAATATTCACCTTCATATTTTTTTTAATGTGAAATCTTTGGCAATGCACATTTAGAATAATTAAGACTTTTCAAGAAAGTGTGATTATTCTACGTAGATTTATCATTTTTAGATTTTTAAAGAGTTACTTCAAAAAATAGTTATACAAATATATTAAATATCCATTTTAACAGCTAATCAATGATAGCGGTTTTTTCGAAATTACCTAAAAGTTTATTTGTATGGCTTTGTATTTGAAAACTTTATTCCGTGAATTATTTTTTCATATTTTAAAATAATTATAAAATGCAATTTACAGAGTTAAAAGCTTTTTTCTATCTATTTCATATAATTTAAACAATACTTATTTTGACCATCGATCGTACATGGATGAAGAAAAATTACAACAATATCAACTTATAATATAATTGTTATGTTTATTAATTTCTCCAATCTTTTTATCCCTATTTGTCGGTTCAAATGTCGTAGATGTGTAATTTGGAGCACATCTAACTCACAAAGTATCCGATTAACTTTATGAGAATCTCCCCTTTCACCACAATGAGGTATTGGTTCTCAAGTGAACAAGTGGCATCCCCCAAAACTATCATGACGCCAAGGATCACAAAATAGAATATCAAGACACTTATTTACATCTCATGGAGTTAAAGATCACATATTCTCACTGATATTGGATCAAAGCTGATTTGTGCAGAATTTTGGGTGCTTTTGTAATTAATTTAACTGCAAAGAAATTCAAAACCTTAGGAACATTCACCTTTCATATCAATTATTCATAATATATATTTTCACCCAAAAATTGTTCACATTATCACATAAAATATATTATATATAGTCAAACATAAAGCTTATGTTTAATATTAAAAGAAATCATGACTGAGTTATACATGGTAACACTGTACTGTATACATATAGGTAGTATCTACAATATTATTTTTCTAAATTCATTGACGGTGTAAAAGAAGTTTTAGCCTTTTTAATAACTGAAACAAATTATTAGTCTTGACTTTTTCCACTTATATAAAACTATCATACATATTACTATATATGGGATATATGAAATCGACGGTATCACCATATGCCTTACAACCTGGTTATTGAAGGGTATGACAAAAAAGAAGAGGATCTCAACTGGAGGGCGTGTTCTTTTATAAGAATATATATTAATTTTTCTTCGAATTAATCACATTTAAAGCTTAGCCGTGATCGTATAGTGGTTAGTACCCCACGTTGTGGCCGTGGTAACCCAGGTTCGAATCTGGTCACGCAGCACATTTTGAAGAAAATAACCTTTTTGTTCTAGGAAATATACTTTTTCAAGAGAAAATTATTATTTTATAATTATATGCATATGATACAAAATGTCCAGCCCAAGGATCTAAATATCCTTCAAAATCCTCGGAATGGTAATTATTCAACATTTATGTTAAAATACTCTAAAGAAAGCATAAAAGTCTAACATGGCATAAAAGGATTATCTACTTTTATATCTTAAATGTATTTCTTAATTCAGTTTTGAACTTTTAAAAATGTCGGTTATTTGTGTATATATTATTTTGTATATTTTATAAGTGTCAATTTTTATAGGTCCCTTTCTCGCTGCTTAAATCCGTAAATCAGTGACTTATGCACAGTAAAAATATAAATTGTGTTTTGCATTATGTTAAAATTTAATTTTCTTAAATAATTGAAGGCATATCAATATTTTGCAATTTAATAAATATGACTATATGTTCATATATGAACGTTGACTGTATCAACATATGCCTTACCAACTTTACCATTTAAGGATATGACAAAAAAAGAAGAGGGTCCCAACTGAAGGGCGTGTCCTTTTATATAAGTATATAGATATTTTTTCTACTCCCATCTCTCAACTGAGCTTAGCCGTGATCGTATAGTGGTTAGTACCCCACGTTGTGGCCGTGGTAACCCAGGTTCGAATCCTGGTCACGGCAGTATGTTTTAGACACATAAAATCTGGTTTTTTCTTCAATTTATTACTTTTTTCACGAGAAAAACGACAATTTATAATTACAAGCTTAAATCACCAACTGATCCAAACAAAGGATGAGGCTCTGAAGTTCTTCTTTAAAGAATCATAAAACACCAATGTGGCAATTCGATTATTTTTCTATGTATTTTGGTATGTACATATGTGTATACGTTATTTGCATTATAGAATGTGGATCGTAATTATATTATGGAGGTGTTTTCCTCCATGCAAATGTTTCAAAATATATTTAGTTAACAAAAATATTTGTTTTATATTCTTAGTAGATGATCTGCTTGAACCATTTGATTGGAACATTTGTATACTCATTCTGATAAAGGATATTTTAATTTAACTAATATGATCAAATGAATAAAAATAAAATAATTTGAAATTCATCATAACTTGTTTGAGTGAAAAAGTTGTGCCTTTGTAACTGGAGAAGTCCATATAAAATAGATACAAGTAAGATGTTGCTTCTCTGGGAAGTAATATAACACATGACCAATCAAATGTCATTTTCCAATGAAAATTCTGAGAATATATTTAAAGTCTCAATTAGTATTTACCAAAAAGCATTCTAAATGTTACAATCAGAACAAATCAAGGGAATTACAACTAGAGGGTCTTAAGGCTTGAAGTAAATATCATACAAAGAGCCGAACTCCAAGGCGTGGCTAAGAAGAAAAAGAATAAATAAATTATTTTGTGCCCCCTAAGGACAAATTAAGCTGAGCCGTGATCGTATAGTGGTTAATACCCCACGTTGTGGCCGTGGTAACCCAGGTTATCACGGTCAGTACTTTTTTAAATTGAAAATAAATCCTTAAAGGAGTAAAGGTATGAATATCACCAAACTACTTATTTTTTTAGGCTTGTTTTTGTTTTACTTCCATAGTAATATTGGTAATGATAGAGCTATTTAGGACTGATGCATATTATGTTGATCAGGGCTAATTACATTGTAGGTTAAGTTAGCGTAGCTCTACCAATCTTAAACTTTTATTAGTTTGAATCCTTCAAAGTCTTGGTTTTTAAAGTTTTAGGGGGAAAGATATGATGCAACGATCTCCATATGAGAAAAAAAATCATAGTTTGTTGGTTCTCCCTCTGTCTTGGAAGAAAAAAATACTGAAATTGACGGGTTGTATTTGCGCAAAATTTAATGTGCAATAGCATAATTTCTTCAAGTTTGAGCTATTGAATTGTGGGTTTTCATAAAACCTTATTTTGCATGCATTGGTTGATTGTCCATTTTCTAAAGATGGGTAAACATTTTTTTAACTTTTTGTCTCTGAAAATGAGGCCGACTCCTCTATTTTAAAAGCTTATATTCTCTGGGGTGTATATAAACTTAAGCAGTCACAAAGTCAATTTAAATCTGTAATACAAATTTAAAATCTTTAATTGCACTAAAAATTATGACTGACCAGAAAATCTTAGAAAAGACTTTACACCTATCCTCATAGGTTATTCTACCCGCCATTCTGCATTCCTTGCAAAAAAAAAGTTGTGTAGAACAAAAATGATATATTCTTGCTTCCACATACAAAATTCATAGATCGTATGATCAGAAAGTTAGGATTCGAGATTCATCACAAACGTGTTTTAATATAAAAATTGTCCCTTTGTAGTTGAAGAGGTCCATCTTCTATTAAGGAGATACATTTAAGTGTTATTTCAATGAAAAATGCGATAATAAACGACAATCAAATACTATGTCAATTTCCAAAATAAATTTTGAGAATAAGTTTAAAACCGCATGGTACAAGACACTGTCCCTCAGAATTCATCGGTGAACGATTACTTTGGACATTGACACATTCATTTTTGGTCCATCGCAAAAAAAGGATCATAATATAAAATAATTATTAAGTATATAAAAACTAAATTATTTTATGCCTTACAAATAATCTATACTTTCCTTCTTTTTTGGAAATAATTTGTTGTTTGATAAATATGATATCTAATAAGATATAATTTTAGTTTGTATCCAAATGTTAAAGTAAAAAAATATGATGCTTATTTATGTATTATCTTTTTAAGATTTTGAATAGTGAAATGAAAAAACAACCCCCCAAAAATTAAGTTTCATCTTCAAAACTCTTAAAGTATAAGTAACAAGAAACAGTTAAACTTATAAACCTTCTATACTTTACAAACCCTCATTTTCTAGACCTATTTATTCCTTTAATGTTGTGAAACTTCATAAAACATTATCTGTTACATCAGTATTCTGGTCATGATTTTATAGGACTATAAAGAGCTTAAAACAATATTCTATTCATAGAATTAAAAGGTGCAGAATTTGTTCCGTAGTTGCTGCCCTATAATAAAGGAGTTCAAAACTGCTCGTCTTATATTTTTAGATTCTTAGAGAACACCTGGTCAGTATCGTTAAAAGGTCTAATTAAAAATATATATCTTCAGGTTTGAATTGTAATATTAAAATTATGAAATTAGGATTCTATTTCTTTGGGATTCGTTTCTAAAACATTGCAATGACTTTTATCTCATACTTCAAACGATTGTGTGAAACGTACTTTGAGCTTCTGGTTCGTGGTTTGCATTTCAAACACAAGTTTAGGGAGTCGATTTGTCATCATTTTCGAGTCAATTCTTGACTCTAGCTGCTCAAGAGTTCTTCACACTTGGCCAAGTTTTCTTTCATTGAGAAGTGATTGAAGGCTTGAGATTGTTTTTTATTCTCACAGGTCATGGCTCGTGTGAGAATCTCATACTATTTACATAAAAGGGGTCGATGCTTCACTCTGTGCTTTTTGATGATTGTTTCTAAGTCTGATAATTATAAGGACTGTAACGCCCTGAATCATTTGTATCCCTGGATGTGATCTCAGATCTAATTCATTAAGATTTAAAAGAACCCGTGCTTCATTATCCAAAATCTAGCATCCACCTTCTAAAAATAACCAAGTAGATTGTAGCTTGAAGAATGATTTACCTGAGAAATCCTAATATATAGCATTTTTAACCCATGCAAAAAAGAACCAATACACGTCATTATATTTGTAGACTTGGTATTGGCAGAAAATAATTCTTAATATGATACAAATGTAATGTTTAGAAGTTGAACAAAACATAATTTTATACAACGAATTTATAAATGAATTAAGTGTTAAATAGCTTAGATTTAAGTTATAAATTTAATATAGTTTCAATATAGAAACAAAAAATTATTAAGAGTTTATAATTTCACTCTTTCTTTAAGAAATATATATGATGGCAATAATGTTTTATACTTTTACCTATTTATATGAACAGAAAACTCAACTCCAAAATCTTGTTGAGATAATCATTTTATTGCGAAATATTACTTTAATATATATATAGGATTCATATTTTAGAGATTTGTGGTTGATTTCACGCAGGATTTTATGGCCTAGACTTTACTTGGAGATCCACCTCAAGATATTCAAAATCTCACTCATCACATGATAAAAATAGCTCTCGAGACTGAGTATTATATATAGTCCTTGCCACCTCTTAAACCTCCTTAATAAAATGTTTCTTAACATATGAATGAGTTTTCATGATCTTAAGGCTTTGGCCCAAAAATTAACTTTAGGTGATCATAAAAAAACTGTCCAGACATCTTCTTCCTTCTCTTATTTTAGAATAATCAATATTTACTCTTTTGAATCAATGAGCCTTGATTTCAATGTTTGAATATCCCCTACTTCAACTAAACCTTAATTTCCGGTGATAGAATCAACAAAACATAAATCATCACTCAGCTATAAATCAATCTCTTCATGATGATAAAAAATGAATTTCTCTTTAGATTGAATATATTGCAATAAACAGTTCATTTCATGAGCTTCAATTTCAATTATCGGATATGGTCGCCTTGATATTTTTTTAATGTGAAATCTTTGGCAATGCACATTTTATAATAATTAAGACTTTTCAAGAAAGTGTGATTATTCTACGTAGATTTATCATTTTTAGATTTTTAAAGAGTTACTTTAAAAAAATGTATATTCAAATATATAAGAAAGACACATTTTAACCGCTAATCAATGATAGCAGTTTTTCGTTATTACCTAAAAGTAATTGAAAATTTATTCTATGAATTATTTTTTCCTATACACAAAATAGTGTTAAAGTTCAATTTAGCAGGTTTACAAACTTTTCTTTTCTATTTAATATCATTTAAAAAAATATATTATTTTGACCATCGATCAATACGTACATGAATTGAACAAAAAGCAACAATATACCTATCATAAAAATATTAAGTTTATTTAATTTTAACCTA